TGAACCAACGACTAGCGCAGCGGATCGCAATCCGCTGCCTCTAAAAGTACTTAAAAGCCTTACCAAGGCAAACGAGCACTTCTGTTCAAAGTCGAAACGTATTTTTTTATATGTTTTATTTTAATGTTGAAACTTTATATTTTTTCTAAATTTACTAAATATGTATAGTAAGATCTAAATACATCCAAAACTACTGGCTACCTAGCCCCGTCGCTTATTCTTGTTTGGGTGTGTGGTCACATTAGGCTCATCTCGTGTGACATGCACACATCCCTGTTATTAGGGTTCGTGAAACCCCGTTACACCTTCCTCCATTAAGAGTGAGAACATTTTCAATTCCAATCAATTATTGCCTCAACAAAGCTCGTGTGTCCGTTAGATACTGCAACTCCATTGGTTGGAACAAACAACTTCCTTGCTCAATGAGCCCTGTGTCAATGACACCAAATCTCCAAATCTCGCCAGTTCTAACGGCGAGCATGGGCAGAGCCCAACTTCATCTTCCGCACTCGGTGCAACGTCGGACAGTGCGTCCGCAGCAACGAGGGGTGTATATCCTAGGCTCGATGAGCACAAATGTCGCATTTCGCGCACGCTTTCACTGCCGAGTGGCCTCGTTGAGGATGCGGTCGACTATGAGTCTGACACTCCTTTTCCCGCATAGGGTGACGAGGAAGGCGAGCTGCACCAGCGGCGCGATACGAGCCCTGCTCGTGTCTTGCGGACCCCATGTCCGTTCCCTGACTACTCGTCAGCTGAGGGACGTGGTGTAATCACCATTATCATCGACAGGGAACAGAGGCGGCACCTTGTAGCTGCCCACAAGCCGGTTCTAAAGCGCGCCCATCCACGATCAGTCATTGACCCTCATGTGAAATATAGCTTCTGCCCTGCGGATCCCGCTTTGAAAGCGAAGGACGCGGTAACTCGATCGTTACGCGTTCACATCCTCGGGCCCCGGCCAGAACAGATGATAAACTTGCCACACGGAAAGCTCTTCGGGCTTGTTTCTTGGTCCCACAAGAAATTCCGTTGGAAACTCATCGCACTCGTCTGAGTGCACCACGAGGTGGTTCTCGTGTACCCGCGATGCGGACAATACCTTTAGTAATCGCCCCTGACAAAAGCACTACAGATGACGAAGCGCTCTTTGAGCGATGGGTGCAACGGCACTTAAAACTTTACTCACTGCATAACCTGCAGTTGAGCCACAAGGAAGTGGACGGGCGTGTGGAGCGACAACTCCGCTTTGAGTTTGCCAAGCCCAAGGCACGCCGTCGACTTCCTTCGGATGGTCGCCCTGCGGCGTATGGGTTAACAACTAATGTTCCCATGAGCTCTGTGTCTTTGACCGCAAGAGCTCAGGGCAAATGCTCGAGCTCGGCTCATGGCCCTTCTACTTCCCTGGCTATTGCCGGGAAGCGCGGGGCTTCTGATGACGCGGGAAGTTCTGATCGTTCTGATCAAAAGCGTCCACGACGACTGGGCAATTATGCCGAGGTGACGCCTCAAACTCCCACGATTTTTCAAAGTCGGGATATCACCGCCACTTCACAGAATATTGGGGCTGACCCTGGTGACGACGTCCTCGTACTAGACGTTCAACGTAATAGTGGAGGTCATCGTTCTCATCGAGAAGATTCGGTGGCGGGCGGCGGCGACCGGGTCGACCGCCGCCCGGTGACTCGTGATGCTCTTCGAGCCCTTAAGGACAAGGACCTTCGTAATCGGAGCTCTGCTGAGCGTCTGAAGTAGCATATCGCTGCGCGGATGCTCTTGACAATTTAAAGCACGTGCGCCGGTTGGCTCCCCTTGAGGACTACCGCTCTCTGTCGGAGCGACTCCTACCCATGGAGCAGGCGAATGGATCACTACAGGCAACGGTGGAGCGTTTGGCACCATTGGAAATGGAGGTTGTTGCACTCTGTACTCAAAATTAATTTCTGGGTCAATTTCTTGTTGGCCGAGGGCCCGTGGAATCCGCTCCGACGCCAACGCTTCCGCGTTCACTTGCGCCGGATCCCG